ACAATTACCATTCACCTTACAGTTACCATGCCAATTTGTATATGTGTACGTCAAACATTTACCGTCAGATGATTTCTCGTGTACATATTTAGTAATGTACGTACATTTTTCTAAAAATCATGTTTTATCTCATGGTTATGACTCAAAAATGGTTGAATATCACCATTCTCTCCAAAATAATCAATGTTTTTTCAGTTACGTACACGTTAATTAGTATACGTACATGTTTCTAATAATCAACTGAATTTTCATGTTAGCCCCATAGTAAGTTGAGTGTCACCATCATTCCCGACATGTCATATCCCATATTTTTCAACAACAAAATCAGTCAACTTGTTGTAATGTAATCTTCGCCACTACCTTTATTACCGTTTATAGTTGTCATCTTCATCGTCCTCTTCCTCATCCTTTCTCTTTTTCGTCGTCCTCATCCTCTTTTTTTTTCATCCTCTTTATCACTCTGTACTTCTTCTGCTTCATCTACTTCCTCATTGTTTTCACCACCGACCCATGGTCAGTTTCATCAGAAAGGTCCTCCATCTTTCTGTGTAATTATTATTTTAAATTTTTTAATGAACGTTATGTTACATAACATTATTGGTGGATAATATATAAGATTCTAAACTAATATATAAGATTCGTAAACGTAGTGGGCTGAGTTGGGTCTTACATAAATCGTCGAAATTGAAACATCATCATTATTGAGCAACTCCACCTCACCACTTAGCAATATAGAAAAGTCATTATACACTTCGGAAGAATCATTCATTGTTAATAAATCGTACTTTGATTCAGGTAAAACCGATCTTCCAATACTAAATTGCACACCATTACCATTCATTTCAAATCTACCATGCCCATCTGTATTCGTGTACGTAAAACATTCACCTTTACATACTTCATCGGGTACCTTGTTAGTAGTGTACGTACATTCTTCCAAAAATCATATCTTACCTCCCAGTTAGGACTCACAAATGGTTAAATGTCGTAATTCTTTCCAAAATGATCGATGCTTTTTCTATCATGTACACGCTCATTAGTATAAGTACATGTTTCTATTAATAAACTGAATTTTCATGCTGGTCTCATAATCGGTTTAGTGTCACGAACATCCCCGACATGTCCCATGTTGTAATGTAATCTTCGACAATACCTTTACTTTCGTTTATAGTCGGTTCTAGGATATTCCCCTACTTGACTAATCGTTTTCCATCGTCCTCTTCATCATCCTCTTTCTCTTTATCTTCTTTATTGTCATCTACTTCTTCTTCCTTATCTACTCTCATTATTTTCATCCACATTTAGAGCCTCAAATGTGGTTTTTGTTGCATTTTCACCCCCAAACCATGTTAGTTTCATCAGCCAAATCCTCCATCATGCACACACTATTCACACCATCCCTAACGGATTGGACAAATGACACAAACATGTTCACTTTTCTATGATAGTTGTACTTATCTTCCTGCAAGTCCCCACACATGGGGCAATGACACCATTTCTCTGTCACGATTACTATCTCGTCTTTCACGTACACAGTACTACATGTTTACGTACATAATCACCAATATATGTACTTGTGTATGTTAACTTCTCTAATAAGCATGTGTGTGCACCTATGTATGCTGGTATATTGTGTCAATACTGATATTTGTGTCGTCCCACAAAGTCAGCATAATAGTTCGTACTAGGCTAAACATTAAGATATTTGGTTTGGTTTCTAGTAAGATTCGTTTGGTACATGGTACTTTGGGTAGAATAATTTTATATCTATTTCTGGTATCTTAAAATTTTGGTCCGGTTCAGTTTGGTTTCAAATATTTTTGGTTCAGTTCAGGGTACCCAAAATATTGGTAAAAGTTAAAATTTATTAAATTTAAATAAAATTTGCTTAATTTTTTTTTGACAAATATAAGTAAAAAGTTTGGATATTTTTCTGTCTTATATAATTGACACCTAAGTGTTTATAATTGTAATCTGGGTAATTGTGATATAAATGTCTAAATATAATTCATATGTTTGGTATATAACTATATTTCAGATACCCATTCGGTTCTCAGTTTTGTTCGGATTAGGTTTTGGTTCTTCAACTATGGTTATGGTGATTCAGGTATAAAAGTTTAATTTCATTCAGATATTTTGTCAGTTTCGGATTCAGTTCATATTTTTTGTATAGGTTCGATTTGATTCTTTAATTTTAGGTATCTTTTTTAGGTGTAGTTCGTACATGGTTTGAATGTTTTGTTTTTATGTTCAAAAAATATTTTAAACATAAATATACAAATTATTTAGATGTTTATATACATATACGCACACAAATTACTACCGTGTACGTACACATGAGTACATGATATTGTTAGTTTTAAATTATCTTCAACAACACGATTAAAATTAAGAATAAATTATTATTCAGAGTGTAAAAATATATATGAAAATAGATCTTAAAAGATAGAAAAAATTAAATTTTAATTGAAAGTACAAAAATAATAAATATTTATAAAAATGAAAAGAGACAAAAATGTGAAAAACAAAAAAAGGTGAAAAATAATAATTATCTTATTTATTTATATTTTTCTATTTTTTTAATTTTGTTTTTACACTGTAGCTAACGAGAGTGTACTGTACATAGCGCGTGTACTGTAGCTAACGATATACAGTGTACGTAACCAACTCGCCTGACGATTTCGTTCGCTGTCACTGTACACCGGTTCGGCTAGAAGGGCATTTTCGTCTGAAATTGACATAATTGTCAAATGGTGAAAGTCTTTCCCCACTTTGTCAAAACCTGAAAGAAAAACATAAAACATGGGCCTGGCCCGTAATTGTACTAGTTTATATATATAGTACAATTAATTTTTTTTTACAAATGTACTTATATAGTTTTATATACAATATTTTCCCAAAAAATTATATATGTAATTGTTTACAAAAAATTTATTTAAGCTTTGTAAATTCTAAAAATAAAAGGTTAATTTTTCTTGCACTACCAGTTAAAAAGTTCAATACTGAAGAATGTTTTATATATGCCTAAATATATGAAATTCAACATTTTTACCTTCGGTAAGTATATTCAATATGTATATGTTTTTGATTTTACAATAATAAGGATAAAGATAATACAATTATTAGTATTTGACAATAAGTAAAATAGAATTAAATAAAAAAACAATTACGTAAAAATAATTGTGAATTTACCACATAAGCATCAATAACATTTTTTTAATATACAGACGATATGTCGTAATATTATTAATTATGAATTTTATGATTTCGGTTCTCTTGACGAGAGCTGTTGCTAAAGCTAGAAAGAGAAAAATAGATTTTGGTAAAGCTTCCTATTAACCTTTAACATTTTGAACCACCCCTAACATTTTGAAGGTTAAAGAAAAAGTAAAAAAAAAACAGGAGGCCTAATTCATACCAGAAAGAAAAATGTTAAAGCATTTTTGCAAGTGTATGAGTCGAACCCACTAACTATCATTCTACCATCCAGCGGATAACCAATAGAATTATAAGAGATATTTGGAAAAAGAGGGTCAGTAGATTAATAACCATATCCTAGACCGCAAGCACATGTTTCTCTAGTTTATGGCTAAGACCGGTTCTGGCAACAACTCAAATTCTATGCAAAAAAAAAAAAAAAAAAATTCTATGCGTAGATGAAGCTTCAGGAGACCGTGTTCCAGGATATTATATATCCGATGGTTTACACAACCCCATCATTTGCATTTCCAAATGTTATAAATTTTAGTGTTTGTTTGATTTAATAACTAAAAAAAAAGAAAATTTTTTTTCATAAATTTTGTGAGAGATGCATGATTTGGAACAATAATAGAAAAAGGATAGTCAAATTCAAAATAGTTCCTCACAAAATTTATGTGTGTTTTTTTTGTTTTCAATTCGAGTTAACTAAAATAAAATAATAGAGAAATACTTACGAAAGAAAAATTGCTAGTTGATCTTTTCACATATAATGGACGTAATTAATATTAGACATGAGAAAACATATATGGACTTTGTGCTGTAAAAACTACACCCATTGTTTCTGGTAGTAGCAACTTCGAAAAAATAATTGTGGACAGAGGGTGAAACGGGAAGAGAAACGCCATAATTTTTTACAGTCCTTTATCGCAACCGATTGTGCGTTTGTTGAAGCTTGCCAAGAAGAAAGCGGATCAAATTTATTGAGATGGGAGCCAAACCAAAACTAAAACTAAAAGGAGATTATAGAAGAAAGGAGGAGAGAGAAAAATCCCAACGCCAGCGAGTCGAAGTTTCACCGGTGCCGGAAAGCGTGAAGGAGTTCCTCGATGTTAGTGTGTGAGAACGTTTTGTAATAGGAGAAAACTAAAATAGAGAAGATATAGAAATATCTATGGAAAAAACTAGATATTTGATCTTCCCAAATGTTCAAGAGAAATCTAAAGAAGAAGAAGAAAAAAAGTTAGAAATGGAAAAAAAAACATATAAGCAATTCATTGTTATCTTGAACTATTTTCTACAGTGTTAAAGAATTTTGGGTGAACAAAATATTAATCCATAGAAGATTAGATATTACAAGATTTGGGAACGCAAACATGGTTTTTAGTTCCCTCTCTTCTGACACACGGAATTTTGACGAAAACGCCCCTACAACTGACACAATCTCTGTCGCAAGATAACAGGTTTAACCGACAAGAATTCAGAGCATTAAATGCTCGCAAATCTCTGTCGCAAGATAAGGAAAGATTGCGCCGGCATTATGGGGAAGAGAAAGATTTTGCGAAAATAAAATGATTACAGAGATATTTCTCGGTTTGTGGAAGTAGCAACCGTATGGGTTCATGTATTTATTACCGAACTAGCGCCGTTGCCCAGACCATAAAAGAACAAGTTAATGTAACGAAGTTAAGAGAACAAGTTAATGTAACGAAGAACAGAGGAGAGATTAGAAGATTCTGGGAAGCATTAAATAGCATCATTAAATACGATAAGGTATAAAACTGTCGTATACTATAAATCTCGTTCCTCTTCGTTATTGTTAGTGTGATAAAAATCATGATGCTCGGTACTGACAAGGTTATGACTTGTTTTCCGCAGGAAAATTATGGCTATGGTGGTGCGATTGGTTAGAGGGGAGTGGAGAAAAGACGATGAAGGCTGTTACGAACATGTATCCGCTTTGGAAGGTTTTACGATGGCAATTCGGCTGAGGGAGACAGATGGATATAATAAAGTTGTTACTGCGGTGAAGGAAAGATTGGCGCTTCGCGATACAGACGAAATCGAGCTAAGTTATCAGTGGCCGCAGTGGATGATGGGTCCCGACTGGAAACGAGCAGACCCAATACACATCCTTAATGATGAAGATATGACGTTGTTCATGGCGATAAGGGCTGATCTTGAAGAGGTGCATCTGCGAGTTAAGGTGATAAGGGGAGGGCTGGAGAAGAATGTTAATACTTTCACAAGCCATTTAGATCTGGGAGGATTGACATCAAAGGAGATATCTGATAAGTACTGGAATTCCGCGGAAACGAGGTCAGTTTGGGATAGTGCGTTAACCCGGTTGTTAACGCGAAATGCAGGCGTGGATAAGCGTAATACCAGTGAACTACAGCAACAAGGACACGAAGAGATTGACAGACCGAGAAGACTAAACCTGAATGGAGGGGTAAGGATACAGGAGCCATTAAACGCAACACCTCTTAGAACAGCGGTATCCAGGCAGGCCGATAACACAGAGAAACAAAAAGAAACAGCCGGCGAGAAAGGCAAAGGACATGTTACCGAGGCAGCAGTGTTAAAAACAGCTCACGCTAATGGATTAGCATGTAAAGAAATGTTTGAGGTAGCGCAAACATCTACAGAACCGGATTTTAAGGCTTTTAGAAGAAACTATGTCGGGGAAATGTGGCGGGATGTGTGTGCTACAGAGATGACTCTAGGAGGACAGCAAGGTGGGACAGTTCTGGCCAACGAGGTAACAAAGACAGCGAGAGAATTGAATTTTGGGGTAACATTGTCACAACAAACCCCTGCTGAAGACGAAAGCCTACGACTCACCCTTTCTGGCGCATCAATGGCAACAAACCAACGAACAATCTTAACGTTGTCGTCATCAGACTCTTCATTCGGCACACCGACTTCCCCTTCAACCAGTATTTCGTTCTCAACAGAGGAGCTAATGGATATAGAGATAGGTAACCTATCTCCTACCGGCGTAATAGGTGCGTTATCTGAAACTAGTATTGAATATGAATAAGATTCAAATGAAGAGATGGTGATTATATGCTATCATTTTCCAGGGCCAACCGCAATGGAGGACTATTACACAGACCCGGATGGACCATTGTGTTTGACTCCAAGAGTTCCCATAGCGGGGGGAGTAACAATAGGTACCCCGGTAATGGAAAAGGGATCTGGTTCAACTCAGGGAAAACAGGTTTCGGAGGGAGACAGACAAATGGTGGTAAGAGAGACGCCAGTCCCAACAGTGTTGTATGATCGGGATGCACCTCCGTATTTCGATGACCCGGGAGAGGAAGGTATAAAAAACTTAATAATAGTGTTATTGGGGTAATATTTATATATGGTGATAAGTTTGTTTATAGCACGGTAACGGTGTTTTCTGGATAACATTGACAGATTACCTTCAACGAGCGCTTAAAGATGCAGATTATGAAGGGGATAACATTTTCGTGGGAAGCTTGTTCAAAAACAAGGATGACTGCTGCACAAAACTAGCTATTCATGCTATCCTACGAAAGTTCCACTTCATACATGCTAAATCTTGTCCAACAATGGTGATAGCTGTTTGCGTCGGAACCACATGCCCGTGGCGGGTTTATGCAACAAAATTAGAAGACAGTGAGCGGTTTGAAGTGAGGACGGCAATACTGCAACACACCTGCAGCGTGGACGCCAGAGGAGACTTCCACAAGCAAGCATCAACAGCAGTTATAGGGAAGCTGATGAGGACACGATATGTTGGGGTTGGAAGAGGACCTAGGCCTAATGAGTTGCGGAGAATGCTGAGGCAAGAATTCAGTCTCAATGTTTCTTACTGGAAAGCTTGGAGAGCAAGAGAAATTGCAATGGACAATGCTATGGGCTCGACTATGGGGATTTTTGCATTAATCCAACCATACTTCAAACTTCTGATGGCAACAAATCCAAACTCTATTACTGCGCTAGAAACCGAAACTGATAACTTGGGAGTTACCAGGTTTAAGTATCTATTCTTTGCTCTACACGCATCAATCAAGGGGTATGCTTACGTGAGAAAAGTTATTGTCATCGATGGAACTCACTTGAGAGGTAGGTATGGAGGTTGTCTTGTAGCTGCAAGTGCCCAAGATGCGAATTTCCAAGTTTTTCCACTCGCATTTGGAATTGTTAATAGTGAAAACGACGAGGCGTGGACCTGGTTCATGACGAAGCTAACTGAAGTTGTCCCAGACGAACCAGACCTAGTGTTCGTCTCAGACAGGCACGCTTCAATTTATGCAAGTATTAGGAAGGTAAACAATGGTAGATAACATATTATTTACCGCAATATCATTCTCTTTAACATATAAGAACTTTGTTTTATTTAATGAATAATTGTGAAAATGAAATGTTGAAACAAATACAGTAAAGGAAATATAAATAGATAAAAGTTATCTGATAATAACAGTTTTATTTAATATAAAAGGGGTTACCATATAAGGTAGAATAAAAATATAAGAGATAACTAAATAGATAAGTTTTTAACGCAAAATAAATACTTAGCAAACTATAAATGTGATATGCTAATGTTATAGTTATCCGTTAAATATGTTGGCAGGTGTATCCAATGGCATCCCACGCGGCATGTGTGGTTCATTTGAAAAGAAATATAATCGCCATCTTCAAAAACGAAGCCCTAGGAAGTCTAGTGTCGAGCGCAGCCAGAGCCTACCGCCTATGTGATTTCAACAAAATCTTTGCGGAGATACGAGCAATGAACGGGCCATGTGCTGACTACCTCACCGGAGTAGGGTTTGAGCATTGGACCCGATCTCATTTTGTTGGGGAAAGATATAACGTGATGACAAGCAACATCGCAGAGTGCTTAAACAAAGTGTTGACAATGGCAAGAGACTATCTGGTGATCTCGATCCTCGAATCTTGGAGAACAACTTTGGTTACGTGGTTTGCTCTACGGAGGGAAGCAGCTCGTATGGAAGAAAACATATTGCCTCCAAAGGTAAATGATATAGTCATAGAGAACTTTGAAAAAGGGGCAGGATTTGGAGTGTTGAAAATAGAAGATGGGCTATATGAGGTGAGAGATATGGTGGACTGCGGGTAGGCCGTAAATCTGTGGGAAAGAACATGCACCTGGAGACAGTTTCAGCTTCTTACTATACCATGTTCCCATGCAATAGCTGCCGCAATCAGAGAAGGGATAAGAGTTGACACCATGGTTGGAGTCCACCACACAGTTCCACAACTACGGTCAGCATACAAAGAAATGATTATGCGCGTCCCAGATATGGCAACACTAGCACCATCACCAAATGATATCGGAGGAGGGAAGCTAGCACCACCATATGTTAGAAGGCCACCAGGGCGACCAAGAAAAAGAATACTATTTTCTCGGGGAGAATTCAAGGTAACTTAATATTTATTTGCTATTTAAATAATTGTCAATATTTTGTTATCGGGATGTCTAATATTTTCCTGATAAGTTATGTTCCAGAGGACGTCGGATAAGCGCTGCACACGCTGCCGTTCCCTGGGCCACAATCGAGCAACATGCAGGGGACCTATGATGGTAACAAATTTAAATTTTATTTTTATACTAAAAAAACTTAAGAAAACCTTGTTAACAAAAATTTTGATAACACAGAGGAGCCGTAGAAAGCAAGGAAAGCGGGTTTTTTGGGAAAGAAGAACGGATGGAAGACGTTGGCCAAAATAAAATAGCTAGACGGGATGTTAAATAAATAAAGCTGATGATGCCGGTAGAATGATTTTGATGTATAGAATGCGGATTCTAGTGGCCTAATTTGTATAATTATTGAAGAAAATACCCATCCGTCGGTTACTGTTTAATTATTTTAATGAAAGCCAGTCAATGTTTAATTATATAATAACTGTGTCCAGCTATGTATGGAAAGTTTACGAGTTATCGAGCTATCATTGGTAAAATGATAACATATTTATTACGAAATGGGAATAAAGAAAAATGTTTGGGAACCTAAAAAAACAAGGGACATTCAAAAACAGATTAATGCAATAAGCGTTTGTTTAGACCATAGCCAACAGAATTAGTCGATAAGAAACAAGTTACGGGAAGATCTATGGATTTTTAAGGGAGTAGTTAGGTACAGGGATAAACATGATTCTAACCGGCGAACCACATTTATAGGCTAAATATTGGTTTTCACCGAAATACAAATATAACCATCTGCGAGTAAGTTAGGCAACCAAAAAAGCGTTGCCGATAGAACGTGTTATCAAGATAACACATTGGTTATATAAATTTGTGAGATACCCTTGTATGAAGTCTAAAACAAATGATATTGTCAATATTACTGAGATAACAAATGTATAAACAGATAGACTACTAAAAATAAATAATACAAATAATCCTTTAAAATAATGAACAAAGTAAGTTAGTGGTTAAGAAAGAACTTACGTAGGGAACATATAAGTAATTTGGATGTTTATTTAGAGGTACAGAAATCGAATGTAACCTCTCTTGTTGAAACAGAGGGTTCGATTTAACTTCTCTTGTTAAAATCGATTTGGGGGAACTAACAAAATTAGGGTTCTTCCTTCCTCACTCCAACGACACTTCAGTCTCTTCTGCTTCACTACTGTGCAGCTTTCTCTCCCGTTCTTCTTCACTCGCTTCTGCTTCGTTTTGTTTTTTTCTGAAACAATCAAGTTATGAGTCAATTTTCTACTTCTGGATCATCTCAACTCACTTCGAGAGCTATTCACAGAGGTGTTCCGAGTAGATGCTGGTGTGGTGACGAGATAACTACCTTCACATCGAAGACAGATGAGAACCCGTATCGAAGATTCTACAAAGATTCTACAGATGCGTTAGGGGCGTTGTGGTAATGAATTGGTTTTTTAAAATTTATGAAAATTTTGTTTCGTCAATAAATTGAGCTTTCGATTTGGGGCTGTTTTTAGGATAAAAAGGAAAAACACCTATTCAGTTGGGTTGATGATGCTCTTCTAGAGGAGATTAGAATGGTTGAAAGCAAGCATAACCAACTCTTAGAAGACGTCAAAGATTTAAAGAAGATGGTGATGGAGAATGTAGAGCTTCAAAGTAAGATGGTGAAGGAGATGGAAATAGAGATGAACAAGATGAAGAATGAGATAATTGAGCAAAAGCTGAAGGTACCAAAGGAGAGTACGGAGAAGGCGAGCATGAAGACAGTTTGTGTACTCGTGGTTGTGGTAGTTTCAATGGCGTGGATGTGTGGAAAGGTTCTGTGATCTGTTTGGTATGTGGATGTTGTGAGACCCCGTCCCGGACGTCTCGGCGTCCGGCGACCATTGTCACATGTTCGTGCCTCCTCCCGGCCGAACCTCTATATTTTTCGGATTTTAACATAGAATTGCCTTTACGAGGCTTAATTCTATAATCCTTATCTCTTAACACAGCGGAAGTCTTTCTACCCTTGGTCTAATTCCAACCATCCCTTGTACCGGTTTGATCGTCTTTGTCCCTTAGACTTTAAATCAATCATTTACTCGGCCAAGTCATGCAATTTGTTCGCTAACCATTCTAAGTCTAACGATTGCATATTCTTTTATCCTTAATCCAACGGCCAATTCCCAAACGTCTATCTTAACTAATAAGCTAGATTCGTTTACATACCTTGGCCTACATGCGGATTCGATTCCTCTTTGATCCGTCCATTGATCCTTCCCTTAGCCCTTTTTGTTGCCTTATTCCATTCGTACAACGATTCTTAACCAATCGTGTATTGATGGACTAATCTCTATCGTTACTTAGCCATACATCCAACCAACCCCACTGGTCTAAGTCCCACGATAGAGATTGGGGATCGTATGTTTCCCTTGGTTCACAGTGCCCGAATCAAGCTCTTGGCTCATTGGTCCATGCGTCCTCCAAACGTACGCCCCTTCGGTTTCATGGTGGACGATCAAGCCCGCGGCTTATCGAACCATCCATGTTTCCGATCCGGTCGTTTATCACTACGACCGCCCACGGTTTATTAACCGTTTACCCGTCCGGTCCATGGTGGTCGGTAAAGCCTTCGGATTATCGATCCATCCATGCGATCCGAACAATATCATTATCACACCCAAGGGTCCGTGGATTCATCCATCCGATTATCGTAGGCTAGCGCATGAAATCATTCGTCCGTCGGCCATTGGTTTGCTCGCGGGTCCAACATCCGTTTTGTCCATCGGTGCTCACCGTAGACTTTCCCGTTGGTTATCCGTCGAGTTACCGTTGGTCTTACCGATTTCCGATCAGTTTCACCAAGGCTGCGACGTTTGATTCATAAAGGCGGCCGCGATATTTGATCCTTACATGGAGAACCACGTGCCTTACCCATTCACGATGCTTTCTCCCTTTCTCGGCAAGATTGCATCTATGGGCGACCCTTGGGTGTGTTCGGTTGCACTTATCCTCGTGCTTCCTCAAACACCTTTCCCTTATACTCCTTCCCGATTAACTTCCCGTTAATCATATCATTCTATCGGTCTATCTTTGGACTCGCTAATACTTCCATATTGACAATCTGAGATTTGCCGATCCATTCCTTTACGTGTCCTTCCCTCGACGATATGATTTATAGAACGAACGATCCATCGATCCCATAATCGAGCTATCGATTCGAACCATTAATCAAGTCGTCGAACTCTCCATCCATCCCACTCCTTGATCGAATTGTCATTCCATCGATCCGATCCATCGATCGATACCACGATCCGATCATTCGGTCGACCCAATCATTTTACCCGATCTGTCCCGTCTCTCCGACGAACGATCCATCCGTTCCAATCCGTCTCTACGATGATCGGTCTGATCAATCCATTCAAACATTCCATCGAACCGTTGGATCGGGAGGTAGCATGCGCATCAGTTCGGTCGAGGCTCCGAGAATCCGTTCCGATTCCGGAGATACTCGCCGAGCCGCACCCCCTTTCCGTCCAACAACTTCGTGGGTGTTTCGAGACTGTTTTTGGATTGAGATCGTGATTGTGAAGTATGTGAATTGTGATTCTAAAGCCCTTGGACGTCCTCCCTTATATAGGGTTCCTTCCCGAAAGATCACATCCGTTCGTTGCACCCTTTCGAAGAGTTGCACCTTTCTGATCATAACCGCTCGGCCTTATCCACCCTTTGGCCAACAGTTGCCATTCGTCGGTAACTGTTCGACCTAACACCTCTTCATCCCCGAGCAACCACAGTCCACCAGCTCGAGTGTCAGCTGACCGGACCACCCAGCTGGGTCAGTACTCGATCAGTTCACCGAGCTCGGTTGAGCTGGCGGTCAGCTCACCTAGCTGAGCTAGGTTGTCATGCAGCTGGTTTAGCTTACCTAGCTGAGCTAGCTAGTTCATCCAGCTTATCCAGCTCACTTAGCTGGCCTAGCTTGGACATTTTTGTCCGTTCTTTCCGGCTAAGTCTTTCGGTCCGTTTATCGGCCGTGACTACGCCTTTCCTAATCTTTCCATGATCATTTCCCCATGATCACTAGATTATCCCGAAACCGTACAAGTCATCTACCCTTCATGACTTAAACGTTTCATTCTTTCCTTGGGTTAACTTATTCATTGGTCTTTCTCGACCATGATCTAGTTTTCCCTAAAACAAACCGGCCCCCTTTAGGATCGCGGGACGCGGGTGTTACAGATGTGTCTTGTTAATTTAAGATTTAGACGCTAAAAAGAATGAACAATATAAAGTTAGTGGTTACTCAAGAAGTTACATGGATGTGCCTTGTTAATTTAAGATTTAGACGCTTAAAAGAATGAACAAATATAAAGTTAGTGGCTAAGCAAAGAAGTTACGTGGGTAACATATTACATATTTCGATGTTTCTTTAGAAGTACAAGAGACGAATGAAACACAGATAAGAATGTTTTAAAGTTATCTCACTAACATGTTTGTTAACTATAATTCTAATTTTATATATATACGTAATTAATTGGTTATTCGAAACTTGTTCAATAACAGAACGAATCACTTATTCTGACTTCATCTCTTATTCATATAAATATAAGTAATAGATGGTTTACTCCGATAAAACATTCCTTTCTGTTAAAGGTTATCTCTCGGAATAAACAAACTCATATATGTAATTAATAGGTTATGTTTGTAACTAATACATTAACTATATAAGATTATCGTTGTTGATAACAAAAAGGGGAAAATTAAATAGAAATAAAGGGATAATAACAAAAATCCGAAACGAAGTAAGTTCAATATAAAGGGCAATAGAGGGTACTAACAAATATGGAATAGAACATGGGAAATATTTTAAGAAAAGAACATAGTGCATACTAAAACAAAACAAGGGGAGAACTACGGGACACCAGCGAGAATGATAGCAGAGACAAGTTTCTTGGTTTCAGCTTCAATGCATTCGAGAAGAAATTCAGCACAATCATCCATACCACCGGCAGCATGCGCATGAATAAGAAAGATAGTCATCAAGCCGGCATCAACATGAGAGGTAACCTGCGGGATGCAAAGAGACCTTTCAACTGAAAATGGAGTAGGTAAGAGCTGACTCATTATTGGATTGGATGCCGCCTGTCTGAAGAGAATAGGAAGCATTTTGGATAGAGGCTCGATATCCACCTTGATGCTAGCATCCATGCGCAAATGAACATTAGAATCGAGCACAGTAATCTTGGCGCAATTAAGATCAACACATAAGGCAACCCAATGTTTTTTGTCAAAGTTGAATGGCAGATAAAGGTAATCAACTTCAGAAAACAACTCAGCACGGTCCAACTCCCCGACACCACAAACAGCATCAAACAAAGCTGTAGGAAAGTGGAAATCTTGAGAAACAGGGGCTTTGGTGAACTTCGGATATAGGCGGTACAATTGAGAGATAAACTTGGTATCAAGCACATCAACGCGAAGTTTTTCGCCATCCACCTCGTGTGTACGGAGAATGTGCCTGCTGAATTTCAACAGGGCGTCCATGACCTACAATAAAAGAATCCATTAAAATGATTATGGGGAAACTACTCAAGTTAACCCATAACAATATTGTTATGAGACGGATAACCTTGTTCGCCAAAGGTTTTTTCCTCTCAATTAACTCAAGGACATCCTTGCTGCTAATAAAAACATCGGGGCCTAAAAAAATAGAGCTACAAAACCGGCAACAAAATTATTAACAAATAAAGAAATTATCTATCTAACATAACAAATGCCAGTAAAAAAAAAAAAAAAGAGAAATAAAACCTTATCGCTTTAAGTTTTTTCAAGGAACGGTTGAAACGCTCTTCAGGATCTAAACATCCACTACTATTGGCAATGGGAGAAGGGTGTCCTACCAATAGCTTCGTTTTCTTATCAAACTGAAACCGACCATCCAACTTGGTAGATCTCGTCCTAAGCCTTTTACTCCTTCTTCCTCCATTGTTACCAACAACACTAGTCTGAGAAGGAACATGTCCCTGCAAAAGATAACAAAATGAAACTGCCATTTTGAAAATAATGCATGATTGGAAATGCAATAAAAGGAACAAACCTTCTCTGGGACCAAAACTTTGTTTGACTCACAAACAGAAATTGGGGCAACCAATAGAACATGGGGATCCTAAGAAGAAAAAAGGAATCAAAATGTTAATGATCTAACCCTACTAAAGATAATGACAAAGAAATAAATAATGAGGAACAATAAATTTTCAAACCTGAAGAGGGTCAATTGCCATATCTGGAGCAGATTCATTATGGGAATCCTATTAACCGATAAATAATTGATTAGTAAACTAAAAAGATATTTAAAGGGTAAGAATATATATATATATATATATGTAATACCTACCTGCATAAGTTCCCTGTCTTCTGGTGAAGCATCTCCCCTAGCTAATTCCTGTAACCGATAACAATATAGTTATGTAATAAATAATTATATAAATTGGTAAGAATAGTTAGAGGATTTTTAACAGACCTCTTCATCTCCTTCATCATCTCCTTCAGTTTGAGAATCCTATTAACAGATAACTAATTGATTAGTTGACTACTAAAAGGTTAACTGGGTAAGATATGAGAGTCGAAAATGAGAGAGACATTATACCTGAATAGGTTCCCTGTCTTTTGGAAGAGCATCTCCACTAGATTGTTTCTATACCCGATAACAATAAAGTTATGTGATAAGTAATTATGTAAGAAGAGAAAATACTTACGGAGATTTTCAACAAACCTCTTCATCCCCTTTAGCTTCAGTTTGGGGGGCCTATTGACAAAGAACTAATTGATTAGTTAACTAATCGAATGATTAATGGGTAAGATGTGAGAGTCGAAAAAGAGTCATTATACTTGAATATGTTCCCTGTCTTTTGGGGGAGCATCTCCACTTGGTAATTCCTGTAACCGATAACAATGATGTTATGTGCTAAATAAAAATATAACATGGTAAAATAGTTACAGATTTTTATTACAGACCTCGTCCCCTGTATCTTCAATTTGGGAATCCTGTTGACAGATAACTAGTTGATTAGAAAACTAATAAAAGGTTTACTGGATAAGATATGATATTTCAATTTTTAATAAAAGGGATATTGTACCTGAATAGGTTTCCGGTGATTTGGGGAAGCATCTCGAATTGGTAATTCCTGTAACAACAAAAAAGTTATATTGTAAATAATTATATAACATGGTAAAATATTTATGGATATTTATTACAGACCTCATCTCCTTTGGCTTCTATTTGGGAATCCTATTGGCTAGATAACTAGTTGATTAGTAAATTAAGAAAAGGATTGATGGATAAGATATGATATGACGATTTAAAAACAAAGGGATATTGTACCTTAATAAGTTCACTATCCTTGGGGGCAATATCTTCAACTGCTAACTCCTGTACAGATAACAATAAATTTATGGTTTTTGTAATCATATTACCTCGGAAATGAGATTGTGGAATATTTTTAAAGACCTCTTCATCATCTCCTTCAGTGTGTGCTGCTTCCTTATGGGCAACATCTCCCATTTCCGTGTCCTGTAACAGGTAATTATTAGGTTATGTCAATATTATTATATTTACCTAGAAAACATACTAGAGTGGAAAATTCGCAAACCTCTTCATCGACTGTAGTAGAGTCGGAATTGACGCTTACACCGGACTAACAATAAAACCCAGCAACAATAAATGTAAGAGAACTAAGCAATAATGAAAAAAAAAAAAAATTGAAAATTCCTCAAACCTCAGAAGCTACATCAGTGGCAGACTCACTGTCGACCTCCTGGGTTGCCTGAAATAAATATATAAATTAAGTCGAAAGACCTGACAACGTTAACAAAAACATTTCAATATTAACGGCTAACCTGTGGGTTTCCGACAGCTGCAAAAATCTCATCCAGTGCCTAAACCAAAGCAAAAAAATATAACGAAATTATGGTCACAATTTGAGTACTAACAAACTAATAAATGGCCAAAAAATTTATAACATAAACAAAGAATAATTAAAAAAAAAAAAAAAAATTATAACGTTAACGTCTTACCCCCACATTATCCTCCAGATCTCTGATCTCCTCATCACCCTGCAACATATAGGTATATGTTATAAAACATTATTGCTAATAAATATTGTCATAATATCCTGAAAAATATAAATTAAATACGGTAACAATAATATTAAGGGCGTAAAGATGGCTATAATAAAAGACACTAACCTTCAAGTTATCATCATTATTAGTTACCGCGGTGTTACCATTGTTACCATCTGCGTTGAACACTTTGCTACCTTCCTTTAATGACTGCAAGGAGAATGATTTCGATAATAGTTAGTGGATAACAGAGAAATTAATATTTTCGAATGATATAGGAAACCTACTAACGGGATTAGAAAATAAACTGAAAATTCAGATCATATATAGGCAACATGGTAGGACAAATCCGTTATTAGAGATACGAGGCAAAACAGATAACAATTACTTTAACTACTAACCTGACAATTAACCAACCCGTTTTCTTCATCATCAACATGACTCGCTATACCATCCGCTGCCCTTGACCCACTGCAATCGCCGGGAAAAAGGCCGTTATAATAAGAAGCTATCCCTTCAACAGAATTGTCGAGTCCCAATCCCTCGCCGGGCACTTGGGGGACCCGATGGGCAGCTTTGCCAATGCGAGAAGAACGACGAGTCGGCGGACGGAGGGGAAATAGAGTGTCAAAATCATCATCTCCATCAGAAATGTGGAGAGGATTAGACTGGGGAACAGGAACCTTTTTCCCTTTCCCCTTGTCCGCATGAACTTCTTTACCATTCTCAGCAGGGACATCTTTCCCATTCTCCGCAGAAATCAAAGTATTTGCAATAAACCAATCAGTAACACCTTTAATGATCTTTTTGTACTGAGCATTCAATTTACCATCTAACATCTGAGATAACGCGTTCATGTCAACCAAAAGAACAGATTCTTCCTCATTATGCACAGATTGCTGAGTCCTTCGAATCCCAGTTGGATTTTTAGGGATTCTGCCCTGCTTTGAAGATTTCCTGACACGACCACCTTTCAAAGTTGCAGATCTTTTTTGTTTTTTGGGGGCTACAACAACTTCAGATGGGATGCAACCACCAGGAAACATATCATTATTGAACTTGAATCCTTCCTCCGCCAACTTTACCATAGTGTCTACCCGCGGATCTGCTTCGTCATCTGACCACGAAACATCTTCTGCAGGATCAAGAAGAACTCCGGGATGGATGATAGGATCAACGTGAGTCTGAAAAGTAAACAAGATCCTTCAACAATTATGAAGCAAAAACTGCAGTTAACAGATAAAACGATATAATTATTTGAGTATCAGTTAAGAAAGAATTTAACAGGTATTAAAACGATTATCACCTGGCAATTTGTGTCTAAAACTTTAGCGTTACCCAGCTTAAACGGGACTACCTGGCGAGGAGTAAGTTCAATAGTATCTTCATCGGACTCAGAACCGACTGTCTCCTCGGACACAGGACCTTCTTGAATAGCGGGAGCGGCTTGAAGAACAACAAGCTGTAGGGCGTATAATAGGCCTTGCACAGCGACAGAAGTAGTTGCAAGCTGTTCAAGTTCTCTTTCTTTAATCGAATTCATCATCATCTCAAAATTCAATCGACCCCACGGATAAGTGAGAAAAGAAGTCAGGTTTTCAGACATCTCAGCGTGTTCTTTAATAATTTTGGGATGATGGGATGTTGGCAGGAGATATCCATCAACAAGCGCAAGAACAACATATCGAATACGCAATGACGGATCATCAGTAACTTTCTTCTTAAGCATAGTGATAACACGTTCGACAGTAACATCGGACTCCAGCCCAAATAATGTGCTATAAAACGGAATCTCTTTCCCAGCAGTCCCCTTCCTTTTTTCTTCGGAAAATCAGGATATCGGCCACAAGCAAGTCCGGTTACCAGATGAAACTCACGCAGAGAAAATCGAACTGGGATACCAGCATAAACAACCCAGATCTTGTTGGCTTTGGCTATGTCCAACTGGCGCCCAAGCAGATAAAGACCAAAACTGGCCGACCAAGCTGGTTTGTTTGGGAAATCCAACAACCCACCGAGAGGAGAATCTCGGATAAGATTGATTTCAGTAGCATCAAGTGCGTCGATAATACCATTAAGAGTTTTCATCTTATTGTACACATTAACCCTCTCCCCAAGCGGTTCTTCACCAGCGGCTATTAGACGGTGCGGGAGGTCAAGGTCCTCCATCTACAAAACCCAGAAAAATTTAGAATTTGATAAGAAAAAAATATGGAAGGGTCCATAAAAAATGAACAAAATCTCATTTTAATGAGATACTTACTTGGACGAATTAATCGAAAATGAAGCACTTCAATCGGAAAATCGACTTGACTATCGGAGAGAAAAAAAGTAAACCGCAGAGAGAAAAGAGAGAACGAACACTAAGAATACTAAGAGGCAAAAAAACCAGTAGAAATAGACACAAACAAACGCAACTCTTCGAACAATTCGTACCGTTCTCATGATTATTAAGGCAACTATTCCCAAAAGAAATCTCGGAAATCACATTTTTCCGAGAGATATGATATCTCTCAATTCTGACACACGCCTACTGGTTCCTCATGTCTCTTTCTTAAAATCTGATAGGCGGGTAGGGGTTAACAGGTCATTATTTTGCTATAGAACCTTTCTGAACAGTGTAAAATTGTGTCAGTTAAATACGGAGTCGTCTATGGTCATCAATTGTAGATTCCCAAAAAAAAATTTAATTTAGAATCTAGAAATCAAAACAAAAGTTTCTGTTTATATATCGAAACCATATTAAAAGCTCATGTTTTACTGTAAAACAAAACTAAAAATTAAAGTTCATGAATTTGTGTGAGATATTTTCCTAAAAACCTATCTCAATGTGGATCCAAGAGGCCACCATGCACACAACTTGGCTTTTACTCTTTGTGTCAGTAAAAAAATCTAAAGATAGTAAAGATAGACCAAATCGCAGCCGTTTATTTCCCATATAAAGAAGTACGTACGTGAAATGACAATAATACCCTCGATCCTTAAACCCTCCTCTTCTCTCAATTCTCTGTCTCCCTTTATATCTCTCTATCACTTTTTATCGATTCTGCGCAAATTCATGCAAAAAGGGGAAATAAAAAAGTTACACAGTCCCCAAGATTCTGCGTGAGTGTGGTATTGAATTCTTCGCCGTCCTTTTCCATTTATCATATTTTGTTCCTTCTCTTATTTTCCTCTTCTGAGTCAATCATGGACTAGAATCAAACTCATTTTCTTCTTTTCCCTCAAAGGTGATATACTAATCTTGTGCTCTGATCATAAAGTTATGATTTTTTCAATCTGGGTTTTGTTTGTTGTTGATGATGATCATGTTTTGTTCTTCATTTTCTGTTGACCACACTCTACGACACTGTTACTCTGTTTTTTCCCCTTTTTAGTACAATGATGTTGCCTTTGCACATCAACAATATGATCAACTTTTAAAGTTCATATATGTTCTGGGTTGTCTCTAGTTGCAGATAAAGTTTGAATCTTTTTTATTTGTCAAGTGGTGAATGAATCCTAATGAAACTATATATGTATTGGTTGCAGGAGATCATATGTGGATCAACAAGTGATCTTGAAGGAAAAAAAAGATGAAGAGAAAGCATTACTTTGAGTTTAATCATCCATTTAATCCATGTCGTAAGTGTTTTAAAAGATCTTTATTGTTATACCTAAAATGTCATGCATTCAGATTTGAGTGATTGTTACTTTAAACTAAGTCATAGCCTTTGATAGATCAGGGTATTTATAATCTGCTCTGTTTTGTCTGTTGTGGCAGCTTTCGAGGTGTTCTGCTGGGGAACATGGAAGGCCGTGGAGTACTTAAGAATCGAGAATGGAACGATGACGATGCGTCTCTTGGAAAATGGACAAGTGTTGGATGATATAAGACCATTTCAGAGGCTTCGTCTTAGATCAAGAAAGGCGACTTTGATCGACTGTACTTCTTTTTTAAGACCCGGTATCGATGTTTGCGTTCTCTATCAGAAAGATGTCACTTTGGATGAAGAGACTCCAGAACCGGTATATTCACTTTCTTCAATATGAAACTCTTCAAATCTATGCGCATTTTCGCTGTTTTGAAACATTTTTTTGTGTGTGTGGTGGTGTAGGTTTGGGTGGATGCAAGGATATTATCTATAGAGAGGAAGCCTCATGAATCTGAATGCTTGTGTACGTTCCATGTTAGTGTTTATATAGACCAAGGCTGCATCGGTTTGGAGAAGCATAGAATGAATAAAGTTCCGGTACTAGTGGGACTCAACCAAATCGCCATCCTCCAAAAGTTTTGTAAGGAACAAAGCTTGGACCGCTACTATAGATGGAGATACTCTGAGGACTGTTCTTCGCTGGTGAAAACAAGACTAAACCTGGGGAAGTTCTTGCCTGATCTTACATGGTTGCTTGTTACATCGGTTTTGAAAAACATTGTGTTTCAGATCAGAACAGTTCACGAGAAGATGGTTTATCAGATTGTGACTGATCAAGATTGCGAAGGCTCTAGTAGCTCTTTGAGTGCAATGAACATCACGGTCGAAGATGGTGTTTTCATGTCTAAGGTGGTTTTGTTCAATCCAGCTGAGGATACTTATCAAGAGAGTGATGTAAAGGAGGAGATTGAAGAGGAGGTAATGGAGCTGCGTCGGTCCAAGAGAAGAAGCGGGCGGCCTGAGAGATACGGGGACTCTGAGATTCAGCCAGATTCGAAGGATGGATGGGTAAGGATGATGCCATATAGGTACAGTACATGGACTGTTTCAAGTGATGACGATGACGAAGAAGATTGTGATGATGATAGAGATACCGATGACGATTTATACTTACCGTTATCGCATTTACTTGGAAGGAAAGGAAGCACAAAGGGATTAAGTAAGGATAAGCAAAGAGAGATTGTTTTAGTAGACAAAACTGAAAGGAAGAAGAGAAAGAAAACAGAGGGATTTGGTCGAAATTGTGAGCTTTCGGTTATTCCTTTCACTCCGGTCTTTGAACCTATACCGTTGGAACAGTTTGGTCTCAATGCAAATAGTTTGTGTGGTGGTTTCTCTGGAAGTCATTTGATGGATGAGATCGATAAGTATCGTAGTAAAGCAGCGAAATACGGGAAGAAGAAGAAGTTAGAAATGGAAGAGATGGAATCTGATCTAGGTTGGAATGGACCCATTGGCAATGTGGTTCATAAAAAAAATGGACCGCATTCCCGAATAAGGTCCGTTTCTAGGGAAACCGGAGTTTCTGAGGAACCGCAGATTTATAAGAAGAAAACGTTGAGCGCAGGCGCGTATAACAAGCTGATAGACTCATACATGAGTAGAATTGATTCTACAATTGCAGCCAAGGACAAAGCAACCAATGTTGTTGAGCAGTGGGAGGGGATAAAGAACACTGCAACCTTTTCTATTGAAGCCGAAGAAAGGTTGAGTGAGGAGGATGACGATGACGGAGAGACGTCAGAGAACGAGATGCTATGGAGGGAAATGGAACTATGTTTGGCTTCTTCTTACATTCTTGATGACAATGAGGTATAATCATTTTGCAAATATTTTGATATTTTCCTTAAAACTTGAGTTTAATAGTTTGATTCGAAATTTCAGGTGAGAGTGGATAACGAGGCGTTCCATAAAGCAACCGGTGATTGTGAACATGATTATGAATTGAATGAAGAAATCGGAATGTGTTGCAGATTGTGTGGTCATGTAGGATCTGAGATAAAACATGTCTCTGCACCTTTTGTAAGTGGAAAAGACAACATCATGTTACATATTTTCGATGAATTACTATTAACTTTTTTGGTGGTTTGGTTTTCATTAGGCGCAGCACAAGAAATGGACCACGGAGACTAAGCAAATAAACGAAGATGACATTAATACTACTAAAGTGAACCAAGATGGAGTTGAGAACCATACTTTCACTATACCAGTTGCTTCCTCAGATATGCCCCCGGCTGAAGAAAGTGACAATGTTTGGTCTCTAATACCTCAGCTTAAGAGAAAACTGCATTTGCACCAGAAAAAAGCTTTTGAGTTTCTCTGGAAGAACTTAGCTGGGTCAGTGATTCCCGCGTTGATGGATCCGAGTTCAGAGAAGATAGGTGGGTGCGTGGTTTCTCATACTCCCGGAGCAGGCAAAACATTTCTGATCATAGCTTTTCTCGCGAGCTACTTGAAGATATTTCCGGGTAAAAGGCCATTGGTTCTTGCTCCAAAAACAACGTTGTACACATGGTACAAGGAGTTCATCAAATGGGAGATTCCGGTCCCTGTTCACTTGCTCCATGGTCGTAGAACCTACTGTGTGTCCAGAGAGAATACCATTCAGTTCAAGGGAATTCCAAAACCGAGCCAAGATGTTATGCATGTTCTTGACTGTTTAGACAAAATCCAGAAATGGCACGCACAGCCGAGTGTTCTTGTAATGGGTTACACGTCGTTTCTGACATTGATGAGGGAAGATTCTAAGTTTGCTCATAGAAAATACATGGCTAAAGTACTGAGAGAGTCTCCTGGATTACTGGTTTTAGACGAGGGACATAACCCGAGGAGTACCAAATCGAGATTACGAAAGGCCTTGATGAAAGTTGATACTGATTTGAGGATACTGCTTTCGGGTACATTGTTTCAGAACAACTTCTGTGAGTACTTCAACACTTTGTGCTTGGCTAGACCCAAGTTTGTTCATGAGGTTCTTGTGGAGTTGGACCAGAAGTTCCAGACCAACCAAGCTGTGCAAAAGGCGCCTCACTTAATTGAGAATAGAGCTCGGAAATTCTTCCTCGACATTATTGCCAAGAAGATTGACACAAAAGTGGGCGATGAGCGCTTGCAGGGTCTCAACATGTTGAGGAATATGACCAGTGGTTTTATCGATAACTATGAAGGGAGCGGAAGCGGAAGTGGTGATGTTCTCCCAGGTTTGCAGATTTACACATTGTTGATGAATTCCACTGATGTACAGCACAAGAGTCTTACCAAACTTCAGAACATAATGTCGACTTACCATGGATATCCACTCGAGCTCGAGTTACTCATAACGTTAGCAGCTATCCATCCTTGGTTGGTCAAAACCACTACTTGTTGCACCAAATTCTTCAATCCTGAGGAGCTTTTCGAGATTGAGAAGCTCAAGCATGATGCAAAGAAAGGATCAAAAGTCATGTTTGTGCTTAACCTAGTGTTCCGGGTGGTCAAGAGGGAGAAAATCCTAATCTTTTGCCACAACATTGCGCCGATCCGCCTGTTTCTTGAGCTATTTGAGAATGTTTTCAGGTGGCAGAGAGGCCGAGAGCTCCTGACCTTGACAGGGGATCTCGAGCTGTTTGAAAGAGGCAGAGTGATAGACAAATTTGAAGAACCAGGAGGCCAGTCCCGTGTTCTGCTGGCTTCGATCACAGCCTGTGCAGAAGGCATCAGTTTAACCGCTGCTTCACGGGTGATCATGCTTGATTCGGAGTGGAATCCTTCTAAGACAAAGCAAGCAATCGCACGTGCGTTCAGACCAGGACAGCAGAAAGTGGTGTACGTTTACCAGCTCTTGTCTAGAGGAACACTTGAAGAAGACAAATACAGGAGGACGACCTGGAAAGAGTGGGTCTCAAGTATGATTTTCAGTGAAGAATTTGTGGAGGACCCATCTCAATGGCAAGCTGAGAAGATTGAGGACGATGTTCTTAGAGAAATCGTGGAAGAAGACAAAGTCAAATCCTTCCATATGATCATGAAGAACGAGAAAGCTTCAACAGGTGGCTGATTGCGGAAGTTTTACAGTTCAAGTTTCTGTTTCACCATGCCTTTGATGATGATTCTTTAACAGCTTGTTGTATTGTAATATAAAACTAATCCGGTATCACAAGTTTGTGTAATCATTCAGCTGTAGGATCATAATATTAAATAAAGTGAAACAGATGTATTCATCATACTCTTGTTAAATAAAACAAAACCTCCAAATAAGATCATTAAACAGTTGATTTCAGGAACGGGTTTGAAGAACGTCGAGCTTCTCCTTGATTCACTTCCTTTTTCTGTCCCTTGTCTTCCTTGTTAACATTGTTCACCGGATTCTTCAAATTTAATTTCTTTATCTCTTTTATCTTTGCATCTTCGGTTTCGTCTTTCTTTGTTTGTTCTTTTCCCAGCTTAAGACCTTCTGAAACTTTTGCTTTCCTTACAAGTGTAGTAGCAGACAGCTTAGTTGCAGAAGATTTCACAGCTGCCTCTGTGTTTTCACTTGTCTGAATCGAAGCTGGAGGATTCTGGACCTTGGATTCAACTTTTGTAATTACTTCTCTGTTTAGATTCTCTGAAGGATCTGTTATCGCCTCGTTAGCTTCTTCAAGCAACCTTTCCTGTTAGTGAAGAACCAGAAAATTAGCATTACGACTAAAGAAAGCAATGACGGTATGTATATAATCTTTCTTCTATTTTGTGCAATACATGAGAAATGAAAGTTCTTGTATATAACCTCGAGTATGCTGCTGAATTTTTCTGCCAAAAAAGGAAGCTTGAGTTTGGTGACCAGTGTTATTGCTGCTCTCATTGATTTTTCTAGAGTTAAAAGCTTCATAAGTTCACTGGCCCTAACAAAACTATCACCTGAAAAAATGTAAAGAATCCTGTTGTAAAAATCTGGACAGCAATGGTCTTAGAATCTGAGTTCACACACAACACGAGCACATAGATAATTAACTTACTACTACAACACGAGCTGATGAGTCTTAGTATGCATTTATCTTGAGAAACTTCCAGGTCGAAAGCTTCATCTTCAAGTGCTGTTGTGTCTACCCCGACCAAAGCCATATCGTCCACTCTTCGTTGAGTCTGAGATTAGGAGGAAATGATATATTGGAATTGGTAAAATTTATCAATAATTGATACTAGTTTCCAGCAGACTTTGTAATGAAAATGTCTCTAGTTTGGTTACATATAGCTAGAATTCCACATATATAAGTAGAGGAATCAAGGTTTTGCAAGAACATGAATTCTCATGTTGCTTACCCAAAACAAACTTCGACTATTTCAGACACATTTCGGTAGATAAAGCTTTGGAGACACGGAGCATACTGCTTAACAAAACTTGACCCGAAAAGGAGAAATAACAACAAATTAAAATGGTGTAACAAGGAGAGAGAAAAACCTCGTATAAACGCAGCTGCTTTAGCATCAACTCATTTTCTAGAGATGCTGCTCCTAAATCTGAGGAAGCAAGCGGGACAGAAAGGTCTAGTATGGTAAGGATTGGTTTTGGTGTCACCTGAAATGGCAGGAAGAATAGGTGAGCCTATATTTTCCAGATAAGTAAACACCTTAATATCAAGAGCGATAATATATACCTGTGGGAAAATCTCAGGGTATTTACAAGCTATACAGTACAAACTGGTTGTATTCAAGCCAACGACCCAGTAGTTTTCTTCTTGTTTCTTCTCTTTACTGGTACTGAAAATTACAATGAATTCAGTAAGTAAAAACACCTTCAGGAAACATGCGTAAGGAGACTTCTCGGAAATTGTAGATAGGTACGGAAAGTAACCTGAAGACTGGGATCCATGAGCCACCATATTGACTAGTAAAAACTCTCAACACACCCTGCAAGAAAACTTTTTGTTGTAATGCGTGTTGTATGCAATGAGCACCAATGCAATAGCAAATGAGTGAGCGGGAATGCAAGAAAGCACACCTCAGAATCGTATGAGCTCAAAGAACCTTCGTCACTGAATCCTATCCATGTTAAACGTGAGCCAGGGGTTAAGGCAACACGGCCTTTCAACTCCTGAGTCATTTTGGATATGTTAAAGACTCTGAATTCCATCACCTGCAAATTTGTGAAACAAGGTTGAGATGAGAATGCATGGTAGATAATAACCTCACAGTATTTGTTGTCATATGGATCTAGATGCCATCATCTCGAAATATGTACATTTGGAGTGGGGATATTGTCCAATTTTGAGAAGGTTATTTCCCGTCCCTACTGTAGTTTAGTTTAAGTCCAGAGTTATTAAAAAATGAAAATTTCTACAGTGAAACCACAGCAAAAACCAAAAAAAAACTATCCCAATTATAATAAACTTATATTAGATTTTTACTTGGTTTAAGATAACGATCTCTGTTTACTGTTAGTCTGTGAGGACTGAAAGAGGCATTCACAATGTCTAAGAAGATAGAGTTTAAGAAGCTTAATATCGGTATCAACACATATTGACAATGTCCTTTCACACTATTTACTATTTAGGGAATGCGAAGTGACTTCAAGGTTGATCTAAGCAGAGAACCGGTGAGAAATGATACCTACCTGTTCATTTGAAGGAAGACAGTCTGAAACATGAGTTACCACAGCAAGATGATCCTTCCATCCTACTGCAGAGACTACAGGCCCATCAAGGGAAAGAATATGTTTCTGCAAGAAATGACCATACTTAATCAGATCAATAGACAAAGTATTTCAATACTACGGTACATATTACACACTACCGTTCTGTTTAAGTTAGTCAAAATCTGTTCATACCAAAATACACTGACTATATCTAAATATAATTGTTGCTGTTCAATTAGTTCAGTGTTTTAAGAGCTGCAGATTCTCGTAGTCATTATATAGTTGCGTCAATAAAACCTTTTCATCTGAGAATACTCCAAATAAAGCCAAACAGAGGCACAATTCACAACAGCAAGTTAAGCAGAAAACCATTATAACACTTAATGGTAAGCTATGATCGATCGGCTGTGTAGCCGATCAGCTTGCATGAATTATGACACATGATAAAGAATAGAGTACAAAAGGAGAAACCTGTAAACCACCCTCGCTAAATATGCGAAGCAAATTGAGGCTTGTAACTGCAGCAACCCAACCAGAACCGTTAGCAACAACCTTCACCTCTTCACCTTCAAACCTCATTGTCCACTGGATGTTTCAATCAAAAAGTAACCAAGTCATTTATTTTCCTATCCTGGTCCGTAATTTATGATGAATGTTGTATAAGTAATGATCGTCTAACCTCACTATTACTGGCCCAGCTTCTAAATGGTCGATACATCAGAACACTCATGTTCTTTTCTCCCTTGCAAGGATTTGCAAAGACACACCCACTTTCATTAATCGATGCCATAGTGAAGCCATAGATGTCGATCATTGATGAAACTCGTGGACCTCTTCCAGTATCATGAAAATCTGTCTGCATTTAGAGAGCAAGGAAAAAAAAAAACCAAAATTACACAAAAGAACCAAGTGTGTGACCCTTTCTTTCTGAAAACCCACTAAAAGGAAAACATCAAGTTAGAAGTGTAACAAATGTAAGCCTCAAGTACCTCAATACGGGAGTTCCCCTCATGTTCAATTGTAGTTATACATCCCAACATATTGTAACACAAGAACGTCCGTTTTCCGGGTTCCAGTGGTGTTGCACCAGGTTGAAAGGGACTTTGCATTTTATACCTGGTTGATGTTGAAATGCTTTTAAAAGCCCCACTTCTTGCACCTTGCTTCTCTCTATGTGCTCTATGTGATTTTTTACTGTATTCAGATGCCGAAGGTAAGCTACTCCCATCATTAAGTTCCTCATATGCATCAGCATCATCATCAATCAAAGTTTTCTTCCTCAATCTTTTCCGGCTAGTATGATGAGATTCTCCAGCATCACTATCTACCAGAGAATCATTTAAACTTTCAGATGCACCATAAAGTTCTTCCTCGATTTCGTCATCAAAATTAAGAATCTCATTCCTCTTCTTTGGTAGTATATCTGGAATACCCACTGTAGGAGATAGCATGGATGATGGAACCAAAGATTCCCAAATTCCGTATTTTCCCTTGGTATCAATGACCGACAAAGCATTACAATTCGGTTTCCAGGCCATACAACATATCCTCTCCTCGAATTTCTGCCTGTCTATGTCCTGTTTCTTATCAACATCCCAGAGAAGAACTTGTTTATCAAGACCAGATGTAGCTATATACTTGCCATTAGGAGCCCACGATAAATAGCATATAGCTTCGAGATGATCACCTCTCAAGGCAAAAAGCTTCTCCCCAGTGAATCTATCATACATAACCACATCGTTTCTCAAACCAGGCACGGCGAGGGTTCTTCCATCAGGGCTCCATCTAGGAATATTCACAATGGAAGTGTTGAAACCTGTGTCGGGCGCAACACCCTTAAGGGTAAACGAAACAATTCCGTTTTGAAGTTCCCAGCATAACACAGTACCAGTTGTGTCAATGGAAGCCAAGAGCTCACCATTAGGGTGGAAATCTAAGCCGGTCACAGGTCCTTTGTGCCCTTTCAAAACTCTAACAATCGAACCATCAAACGTATTGATAAGTTTGATTCCTTCATCATCTCCAGCAGCTGCCAATAGACTCCCTGAGCCGTTAAACGCAAGCACGCGAATCGGAAGCGTAAATCTAGTAATATTCGTCTGAAATTCCCCACCTAAGGCAAAATCAAAGGAAGAACTTGCAATTAAGAAGGAACTAACAAACCTATAGCTTGAAATCAACAAATGTCGCTAAAATTTACACTTCCACAAACTTATCAACACGAATTGAAATGTAATTGAGAATGAGAAGAAGTGATTTGAATTATATACTTGGGAACTTGTAGAGCTTCACACAATGATCGATAGATCCGGAAGCAAGGAAAGTAGAGTCGTTGCTAAGAGCCAAGGCGGTGACACCGTCTTGGTGATGTCGGAGAATCGTCGGAGGTAAAGTGGAAGGCGAGAGTCCGTCGTGGACGGAGATTGAGGGATCCGAAGAAGATGAAGTGACGAAATGTTCGGCTTTGTGGTCCCAGAGGATAGAGCAGAAGGCGGCGCTTCCGCCGACTTTATGGGCTTCCCGGAGCTTTAGCGAACGTGATTTCATCGGAGAAGTTGATTCTCTGGTTGGTTCTAGGGTTTAGTTCTATCTGATTGATTTGGGCATTTTTAGTCTTAACCTCGATTTTGGCGCCAGTTTCAGAGTGGGACACGCGGGATCTCATTTACCTTTTTAAATTCGTTTTTTTTTTTTTTTTTTCATCCGAAACTAAATAGAGTTCAAAAGAGCCATTCCTGAGGAATGTTGTTTAAATTCGTTTGTCAATTAAAAATGTGGATAAAATTTCAATATTTCATAGAATCAATTATGGATTTGTCATTTTTTTAATGTTATTTACGGATTTTACTATTTTCTTAAAAAATATTTTAGATTTACCATTTTTCTATATCTAAAAATACAATTTAACACATTAGGTTTATGTTTATTTAGTTCCTTATTTTTAATGTATAGTTTTTGTTATTAAGTACGTATTTTATAAAAACAAATTCTGAAATGTTTAGTTTCTTAAAAGACAAAAAGTGACAAATTTAAAATATTTTAGAAAAGTGGCAAATCCAAAAATTTTGGGTTACAAAGTGGCAAAATCAACAATAATCCCAATTTCATATCATTAAATACAAAACGGAGAAAAATATTAGCCTCCTAAAATTTTAAATGAGTTAATTTTTTTAATAGTTTTGAACTTATTCAATCTTTAATTTGTAATTTTTAATTAACAATGTTTTTTTACTGAATCAAGTTAGTTATTTCGCTAAGTGGTTTAACATAAAAAATTAACGGTCTTGTGAAACTACTTAACAACAACACTAATTTATATCAATCAAGAAAAATTATTGAGTAAAGAAAAAATCAAAAATTAGTGATTTTTTCAACCATTGGAAAAATGATGTTTTGTTTCAACTACATCTTTTTAAGATATAATGACATTTTCTTAAACTTTTTATTGAAATAAAATTTATTGCTCAAATAAAAAAGATTATTTACAAGAAAAATAGGAATGTGAAATTTTTGACAAAAAAAAAAGAAAGAAAAAAAAGATAGCGATTAACCAATTTCTTTTACGAGGAACCATTGTTGACTAATGTAAATGTATTTACTCGATTATGTATAGTAGAGAGAAAAAATACAGTTATGAATTGTCCAATCTATAATACATAGAAGATAATGTGGAGTATGATGCCCACCTTGGTGTCGTCTACCGTTATGCTCCCGCAAAACATGATATGGTTGTTTTATGTTTTCAGTTTTTCACTTAATTTTAATATTTTTTTAACGGTTCAAGTTTGGCTAGTTCGATTCGAAATATGAATGGGACCCCTTGACGGTGGAAAACAATTAATGATGAACGTTTAATATGCGTAAACGTAGAGATGAAATGACAAAAATGAAAATAAAATAAAATGGTTAAAAAGGTACCATCTTCCATATTATCATGTTCGTGTTATAGATAAAACGATTCATAACTGATTCTTATTTCCAAAATACATAATCAAGCAAATAAAATTGCCTTCTTCATGAATTTTTCGAATGTTTTTTATTTTTTGCCAAGTTTTTTACATTCCTATTTCAATCCAGTAAACAACTTTTTTTGGTTGAACAATAAAGTTTATTTCACTATAAAAATTGGAAAATTGTCAAAAACAAAATCTCCAACTTCCAAAATAGTTGAAAAAGCATAAAGAATCAACTCTATCTATGGTTATTTTTTATAGTTTTTATTAACTTTACATTTTAATAACCAATTTTCGATGAATAAATCAAATTAGTCCGCCGTTAAGTGAGTTGACGGAACCGATAATCCGTTATGTCAAGAGCCACTTATCGACGAGACTAATTTGGTTCAATCAACAAAAATTGGTGATTAAAAATGAAAAGCCAATAAAAGTTGGGGATTTAATATGTTTATCGAAAAAATTAGTGGTTAACCATTTTTGAAAATTAGAGAGCTTTTGACATTTTTCCCAATACAAAACCTTGTTTTCAATGGGATTTAGGTTTATTAAAAACCTTGTTTTCAATACAATTTCTTTGACCTGAACCATTTTATGAAATGTTTTTAGCTGGTGTTATATAACTCATTTCATTTTGGTTACATGATCGAACTTAGAGATTATCTGGTTTGGGCCGTATGGGATTTGGTTCAATATTGTACAAAGAAAGACTTGTTTATTTACTTACTTATTCGTGTAATAAAGATAATCCTATGATGGATCGATGTGACTTATTTTATTGAGTTATCGAAAGATCAGGATTGAAGAAAGAGGTGCAATAGGGTAAGAGTAAAATCTACTAACAAACGTTTTATCCTTAATGATAACCGTAAATGGACATGCAAACACAATATTATATAGGTATCGAATCTAAAGAAACACAAATGAGATTATATAGACTTAAATTAAATTAGAACATCATAGAGTGAAATGAACTCAAGTAAAATTGCAAGAATAAAAATAAGTAAATTGAATAAATAAATTAAAAAAAAATCATATAAGAAACATAGAATAGGAGAAACCTTAAAAGTTCTTAAAATCAAATTTCTATTATAAATTACCCTAGTGGCGTTAGTAATAATTATATGAAGAGACTACATAGATCAATAAACCTTGGATAAGCTTGTTCGGAGTAATCCAATTAAGCATTAAGAAAAGAATCCAATAAATTCACAAAACACAATAACAACTTATGGCGAAGCCAGTTAAGGAGTTTTGCCTATCTTTAATAAATCCATCAATTCGACACCATTTTTGGTGGCTTGAAGAATTTAGATCATGGAAAATAGGTGAATTAGCCTAATTCATCTAGAACTTTAAGAACAATAAAAGATCAGACAACACCAATATAAATTATAGCAAAGAAAATACACATCGAGGATGTTTATAATGACAACTCATTTGGAATCCCTAAACTCCTTGATGAGACTAGTTCACACATGACCTAAGTACATATAATCATTGTAGAAAAATGATCAAGATTAAGAAGGAACTCAAAGGGTTTCTTTGCAATTTTAATATAGTTTAACAAAGAAGAAGAAAAGAAAAACACCTTAAAAACTATATAAATTGCACAGAAAAGTATGCCTTGCGACTACAGAAGAGTTGGATACTTATAGGTGATGGGACACAACCCTAAAATAAAGAAAATGGAAGTTTTCCAAAATCCCAACCGATCGGTGGGCCGCGTTTTCTCTACCGACTGATTGGACTTCTTAACCTATTGGTCCACTTATTGAATCATCTCTTCTCTTGACGTGCTTTGGCCTATTTCTTTCTTTAAAAAGCCTATTTCCATACCGCATGTCCAGAATCCTGAAAATACTAAAAGATATCGAAAACGACATGTTCACGACTAAAAGATTCGATAAAAAAGTAAAGAAACATACAATATGTGTTAACAATATCACTTAACAGTAACCGAAAAATCACATGAAACAAAGCCCAATATTATGATTGACTTAAGTGAACCACTGAGCAATCATGACGTGGTTTCTTACAACACAAATGTACAATTAAAGAATGAGGGAGACAAAACGGTGATGATTATGGAGGTACAATAAGTCGCGATGGGTTACGAGCAAGACCAAGACCAAGGCCCAAACCCAACGGAACACTCTCACTCTTTGACTTCACATGTTTACTACTACTACTAGTGTATTATGGATATAGTTGAAAGAATGACCATTCATGTTCCCAAGTGTTGATTGCAAATGATGTTTTGGGTTAATATCGTTAGAAACTTGTCCGATTGCATTGGCGTTCCCGTTTTGAAGCTTTGAAATCTACTGCATTTGGATCATGCCATTACCTTCCTCCTTTCCTCCATTTGATGGGTCTTCTTTGGATATAGTTGGAAGAATGACCATTCATGTTCCCAAGTGTTGATTGCAAATGATGTTTTGGGTTAATATCGATAGAAACTTGTCCGATTGCATTGGTGTTCCCGTTTTGAAGCTTTGACATCTACTGCATTTGGATCATGCCATTACCTTCCTCCTTTCCTCCATTTGATGGGTCTTCTTTGTGACACTCGATATCTTCATTGTAACCTTTTTCAAGGAAATCCAAACAGTTTCTTTTGCAACAATCTTTTTTCCTGAAAGGTTTCTTACCTAAAGGAGTCAATACAACGATTCTTGCTCTCATACCTAAGAAAATTGAAGCCAAAGAAATGAAATACTATAGACCTATCTCTTGTTGTAACGTCATGTACAAGGTAATATCCAAAATTCTAGCAAAAAGGCTAAAGAGGATTTTACCGACATCGATATCCCCAAATCAATTTGCATTCATTCAAGATAGGCTCATGTTGGAAAATCAGTTATTGGCTTCTAAAATATTCAAGGATTACCACAAAGATTCAGTCTCCGCTCGTTGTGCTCTAAAGATTGACATCTCCAAAGCTTTTGACTCGGTTCAGTGGTCATTTCTGGTTAACATTCTCAAAGCTTTCAATATCCCAGAAACCTTCATTCATTGGATTGAACTGTGTATTGGGACTGCTTCATTCTCTGTTCAGGTTAATGGGGAGTTAGCCGGATTTTTTCGAAGCAACAGGGGACTAAGACAAGGTTGTTCTTTATCGCCCTATCTATTTGTAATCTGCATGAACGTTTTATCACGGATGCTAGACAAAGCGGTTGTAGATAAAAAGATAGGATATCATCCTAGATGTAAAAACATGAGCCTTACTCACTTGTGTTTTGCGGATGACATTCTAGTTTTCTCCGATGGGAGTTCTCGGTCTGTTGCGGGTATTTTGAGGATATTTGATCAGTTTGCGGCTATTTCGGGTTTAAAAATTAGCTTGGACAAATCTACCTTGTTTATGGCTGGGGTCACTCCTCAGCATCGCGAAACCATTTTGAGTCAATTTCCTTTAGAAAAAGGCTTACTCCCGGTTCGATATCATGGTGTCCCTCTCCTCACCAGAAGCAGGACGAGAGCTGACTACCTTCCCTTACTTGAACGAATCAGAACACGCATCACTTCTTGGACTGGATGGTTTTTGTCATTCGCAGGCCGTCTCCAACTGATAAAATCTGTCCTTTCAAGCCTTACCAACTTCTGGCTATCCGCTTTCAGACTTTCGAGTAAGTGCATACAAG